ATATATATATATATGCGGATTATCTAAAATAAAATCGCCAATATTTGCCAAAACATCCAAATTATATATAAAAAAATATCGACATCTTTTACAATTTTTTTAGGATTATTTTGAATTTTTTGATGTACCCCAATTGTACATACAAATTGGGATAACTCGGCCTCCCCCTAGCCAAGTTACTCGTTGAGTCCAAGTGGACTCGGTCAAGCCCATAACACTGGTCTCCTATTAATTTAAGCAGTAAAATTTGTTAGCCATATGCTCATACAGTGCAACTTTACGTATATTGTACAAGATGTGGAACCTTCATAGATTTTCGATATGAAACCTTCATTCTGTTTTACAAAAGAGGTTCAATTCCCATGGTTTTTGTGATGCGTCAAGATGTTTATCTTCTATGTTGCATTCCTTTGATTCTTACTTAGAACGGGTACATGGGTTTGTATGCTACTCCACCTTGAATTCTTTCTTGTCATGAAATTCTAATGGAATGGATTGATAAGGAAAAGGGACCAAACCACCTATTACCCTTAAAACATACATCATGTTTTCTGGGTATAGACATAAATAGTGCTTGAAGATGCACATACATGACACAACAAAACAAGGAGAAAATGAACTAAGCAACTGATATAGAAGTACATGCATCTCTTTAAAATACTAGACGACTCATTGGTTTGGGTTGTGTCAGTCTATTAATTTTCATTTGTGCATGGCCATGCTCAGAGACATGAACATATGGAGATTATAGGTTAGATACCTAAAATCTTAGGTGCATGCAGCTAAAAAAAAGGAGTTTAATTTAGACATTATGAATATGGCACATTGTTCTGCAGGTGGTATAATCTTGCTGTGAGTGACTAATTTTCTTCTCATGATTTATCTCTTGGTTTATCCCTTGCTCACACCCATTGATTGGCAATTCTGAGTCAATCGATGTTTGTACTGAGACAAGAGGTGAAACATGCAATAGTCAAGTATCCATCAGGGATATGTTTGGCGATAGAAGTCATTTTTCTGATTTATTCCTTGCAATTGTTATTCTACATTAGAAATCAATAATAGATACCTTCATTCCTCTAAAGATATTCACTTTTTAATAGCGTAAGGTTAATGTTCAAGAGGAAATCAAGTAATTTCATTCAAGAAATCAACGTATTTATATATTACTCTTCTTTAAGTTTTTGCTATTTTCGATCATCTTTCAGTATTGTTATTCCATAAATTTCCTTCTTGACATTCTGTAACTTATTAACATCCATTGTATATCAGCATTTTTCTGGTTCATGTAATGTTGCATGTGCTTCAAGAGTTCTTAAAATTACTATATTTGTTATTCTCTCTTGATGTACTTAAGCTTTAAGCGTCATGATGTACAAGCAGGTTGTTGGAGTATTCAAAATGTTTGTGCTTCCTCTCCTTGGTCAACTTGCAGATGAATATGGACGCAAACCAATACTACTCCTTACCATTTCCACATCTATAGTTCCTTTCGGTATGACATATATCTTAATAAATGATGTCAGCATCTAGCTGCTACTTCGTAGAACAATTGTCACACAATACGTATTGTTCACGGACATGATGTACAGTAAGCACATGAATATCTGAATATGCACATGAATATCCGACTACTTCATCATCAATTTGATATCAGAATATGCAAAAACAAAAGCGTCTAGGTACCAATATGGTGCATCTTTTCATTTCTTGTCATGCTTAGATTGATACTTTCAATTAGATATATATCATTAAAGTGTAATTTTCCCTAAATTATGATCATGTTATTTTCTGGATACTCTCTCTGATTAAAATTGTTTTCGTCTGTGAAAGCTCATGTTATACGAATAGTCTATGTGGATGTATACTTGGTTTTACTCCTAGATGGCTGATCTTGCATGACTATGATACACTTGTTCAATATTGCTTACTTTCTAACTTTGCTATTTCTTCGAGTTTGACTATGTCATGAGCCACACTTTTCTGCTGTTCAAGATAATTGTTTTCATAACATTGGTTTCTAATTATAGAAATTGACTTGCTGGAAGTATCCTCTAATACCACAACTGCTCGTTTCAGCTTTACTTGCTTGGAGTAAATCGAAGGTGTTTGTATATGTATATTACGTAGCTCGAACAATATCATATATCATAAGTCAAGGAAGTATCTTTTGCATATCAGTTGCCTATGCGGTAAGATTTTTCCCTTTGTTATTGATTTTCTTGTTGTTAGGAATGAATTTGACTTCCTCTTTAGGTTTTGAGCATACCATACCGATACCTTCGGCCATAAATATCCGTTACTATTCTTGATATGCTACTATTCATCTTGGTTATTAATGAATCAGTTCATTTGCCAAAATTTATAGTACTTAACCCTTAATATGGATGTTGATCTTGTGACCAATGTTTCTTTGCTGGACGTTTCTTGTTTTGACATCTAGCTGGGCACGCTAAGGTTGTTTTTGAATAGCTCATCTATAATTTATGGCAAGCATCTTTGGAATTAGTAGAAAGATGAAACATTTACATCTACTTCTTTTGGTAGGCAGATGTTGTGGAAGTGAGTAAGCGAGCAACAGCATTTGGATGTATAACTGGACTTTTTTCTGCTTCACACGTCCTAGGGAATATACTTGCACGTTTCCTCCCAGAAGATTACATATTTGAGGTTAACTATCATAACCTGTTTGTTAAACCATATATTTATTTATATTTTTGTTGATATTTCTGACCAATTTGTTTAATCAGGTCTCAGTATGTTTGTTGATCATCTCCACTGTATACTTAAAACTATTTCTGATCGAGACGGTTAACTCTTCTTCTCGGTTGGAGCAACATGTACCTTTAATGCTTATGGTCCAAAATGTGTTTAATGAAAGATGGAATTCAATGAAAGATACTGTCACTGTGGTTAGCCATAGGTTTGTTGATATTTTACTTATTTTATACTTTCAATAATTTCAACTTCTCTTTGTTGATTTATGCTAATCCTCTATTTTGATGTATGGGATGTGCTCATTTATAGTTGTTTATCAATGATATTTCTAAACTTATTACGTTCCTATAGAGGCATTGGTATATGACATTTGGATTTTATGTGCTTTAACAGGGGCACACTCAAGCACATCACAATTGTTTCATTCTTTTATGAGTTGGGAATGTCTGGAATTAGCAGTGTCTTGCTGGTATGATTCCCTCCTATTTCACATTTCTTTAATGCACCATATATTGTCTGAATTACACTTTGATGATATGCCTCATGCAACATTTTAGTTTTGGAAAAGTGCTATATGAGTCAGGGGACGCATGTGGTTTGCTGACCATCCGGCGTCCATCTTAAGATGGACCTTGAGAAAAAGTCACCTAACACATGGTTTAAAAAAATTTGAAAAGAAAATTACTTTTGAAAATTAAAAGTTTAGTAATTTTCATATTTAAGATCACCATGACCTAGAATTCAAAATCAATCTCTAAGATGGGCTTTAGTAGGGGGACAACATGCACATGTGAGGCAAGGAACTCATAGAAACCCCATCCTTGAGTTTTCTATGTCATTTATTACCTTATTACTTTTTGTTTTCATCAAAATCTTCTATATACAAATTTAGAGATAGTTTTTTTTTTTTAATCATGATTTATGAAATGGATCCTATCCAAACTAATAAGAAACACAACGTGCGACTAGTGGATTCCTCATGATTAGATTTACAAGAACAAGGGTGTTGGGATACAGGCTGCATTTTCTAAGGAATTGCTAATAGCTTGCGTGGGATTAGAATTAGATAGAGCATGCATTGCAGGCCAAGTAAGCATGATTGTATTTCTACTGAAATAGGATAAATTGATTGGAACACTGTCGAAAAGACTTTTGGGGTTTGGCACACGCCTTGAGTTCTAGACTTTCAACCCTGCCATTTCAACTTCTTTAAGATACAAGATATTGAACCTAATCCTTTTCTCTGCAAGTTAAATTCTATAAGTTTTATCTTCTTTGGATGTAGGAAATGTGAGCTGGGGATTTAATGCCTCCGATTTTCTTCATATGTTGCCTGTGTCAATTTGATTAGCCCCTTGCTTAGGTCCTTGATTTCTGAAACTAGTTTTCTTCCATAAATGTCTCATCCATGTGCTAATTTTTGTGATTAATGATTGTAATTTGTCTTCTAACATCTACAATAGGCACAAATCAAACCAACTGAAAAACATAATAAATAAATAAATAAAATCAGATGGAACAGACGTTAGTAGGGTAACAATTAGAAAATCAAATGGAAGATACATGTTGCGATTTGCAATGTTAGACAATTTCATCAACATATCCACATTAAAGAAATTAAACTTTGGGTTTCGTGTTATGAGATGCCTCTCTTAGGCATTTTGTTATTCCTTTACCAGTTCCATTTGGAGAAATTAACTAGTAGACAGTGCCAATGACCATTTTCGTGAAGTGCTAAAGTTCAGTTTCTTGGAGGGTTACTTTCTGCTCTCTACGGATATCTTATCTGAAACTAATTTAATGGACATGCATAATCTTGTGCAGTACTATCTAAAGTCGGCTTTTGGTTTCAGCAAGAATCAATTTGCAGAAATCCTAATGATGGTTGGAATAGGTTCCATATTCTCTCAGGTATATCGTGCCCTAGGTTTTCTTGTTATTTTGCACTGAGAAGGTGAATATATGGGGGCTATTTATTTCACCATTGGAAGTTCTTGTTGCATTGGAAGTTCTTATTGCCTTTGATCTTTTCTGATTACTTTGTCTTTATTATTTTGAGGTTTCTTGTAGTTAATGTTTTTGGAAGCATGCCATTTTTTACAATTTTATCCGTATATATGTTATCAACTACTAAATTATTTTTTTTTCATAATATTGACGAGAGGAATCTTGAGAGGCATAGACACATGAAATCTGACACATCTAGATTCTTCTCAAGATGTGTTATGTTCTTCCACCAAAAAAAATCCATAATACTATATTACATTCTGAAATTTAATCTATACCAATATTAAGTTCCTTTTATGTAAACCTTAGACATAGACAAGGGGCATGCATCACAATCCTCTACTTCATAAACCGTATTATCGTCATCTCCTACCTATACTACAGTCAAATACTTGTGTGTTCCTCTCTATAACTTTGTTGGATTCTTGAATTATCCATCAGCTATTATATGAATATATTATGCATCAGATTGCATTTTTTGTGTGGCATTACATTCACGTTGCAATCACTAGCATTTTTATTTCTCTGTCAATCATGCTCCTCATATGTATGTGTGTGTAGGAAAAAGTTTATAGAAGGTTGCAACCTTGTAGAAGTAAGGTTGCAGTAATCCACATCATCCAGTCCATTTTATTTGGTCTATATAAGTTTTCTTGTTTCGAGTTTGCTTCCTTGTGACAATAGTTTTTATTGAAGTGAAATCACTTGTCATTCACGTCTATTCAGTAGGTGTTATATTACAGACGTGATGGGGAGTTGAAATTTGTAGATATTCTCCTCTATAGCAAAAGGACAGTATATTGTACTCTCTCCAAATTAACACAGTGTAGCATCTTAAGGGAGATAAAAATAAATTGAATATACAGCCAGTTTTGATTTGATAAATGCAAAAGTACACAAGACAGGTACATGGTGTTGTAATGCGTTCTCGGTTGGTTTCCACCTTCTTTTTTTTCTTTTTCTTTTTTCTTTTTGTCAAATAAGATCATGAACCAAGAAAACATAATGAAATGATTTCAATGACTTAAAATTAGTTATTTGCTACTTTAGAATTCATTCAAATTTGCAGCATTGAAATGATTTTTTTTTTCAATGTGTTGCATTCCTCTTTTGGTTTTTTGTACCATGCAGTCTGGTTTCAAGAGCTTCCATGGTAAAATTGTGCATTTTGGTTTTAGATTCTGGTGCTTCCAGTCATCAATGTTTTGATGGGTGAGAAATGGGTCCTTTGCCTTGCGCTGGTCTCATCAGTCTGTTATGTATGTAACTATGAATAAAGCTCATTATCTGATCCTTTTTTATATCAGTTTAATTTTATAGATTAAAAATTGCTTATATTTTATGGTGTTCCATTCATCTCTTTCATTTTCCTTACAGGGTTTGCTTTATGGCTTGGCTTGGGCACCTTGGGTATGTATCAGAATTCAGAAGACAGCCGAGTAGTTAGATTCCATACATGTAGGATGATAAACTCTATTTTGCGACAAGGCTAGTCTGGCCACCCATGTTTTTAGAAATCCGCACATCATAATAGAAAACTGGGTATCTTAAAGTGGCTCAGACAAGTAATGCAAACCATATTTTAGGTGGCAGATTCAAGGAGATTGGGTTGACTACAACAAATGTGTATAGCTCCCCTTAGAGTTGAATCCTAGAATGTGATAATTTCCTTTCTACAGAGTAATTTCCCTTGTTATCCACCATCTTTGACATAAAACTATTGCTGATTTTTTAACTGCAAGCCAATGATTTGGGGTCGGCTACATAAATCATGTTCCTCCATTCTTTTCTATCAAGTATAACACACGTTCAGAATTCATGAAAAGATGCAACAAAGTTTTATATTGGCTCCCACCTAATGCAACCTACCTCCTTTGTCGGGCTTGGAACGAGTTTAAGGTCCTCACCTTTATAAGACAATGGTATTTGCAATCATTGTTTCTCTTGAAGTACATTGTTTTCTGAAGCTCACTAGACAGAGTACTTCTGGGTTTTTCTTCTCGTCGTTTTTTTTTTCAAGGAGGTTATACTTGTTGATAATTTTTCAAATCCTTTTTTGATCTCTAATGAGTTTCATCCCATTTGAAAATATTCCAAATTATTAGAGAATTTAGAGGCTCCCTGGAAATCAAGGCTGAGGGAGCTGGATATGATGGTGATGCAGGTACCATACCTTGGTGCTTCTTTTGGGGTAGTATATGTTCTTGTTAAACCATCAGTGAGTATTTTAAGATTAAGTTTCAATGCTCATAGAAATCTGCATTATATGTTTTTTATCGTATTATTATTATTCCATCATTTCTAAAAATTTGGATTTTTAAGTATTAAAAGTACATCTGATTTCTGATACTTAAATTTTTGTGAATTGATTTTCTTGATATGTTTGGACAGACTTATGCAATTGTTTCACAAGCAGCAAGCTCAAATGATCAGGTTCGTTTTAATTATCAATCTCCTTGCTTCATTTGAACGTGCACAAGATTTTTGTTTAACATGTTAAATTTTACTGTAATCTAGATTACGTATACTTCTGGTATGGGATTAAATCTTCTTTGTCGCTCTCCTATAGCATATGATATCTATTTTGAATTGTTGGGTTCTGTCTAGCTCAAGCCCAAAAAGTAATGCTTATTTTATAAAAAAATATATAGACATACTTAACCAAACCACTTAGAATATGAACACTTACCCTTGGAATCTCATTAATAGAAGAATTACATTCAGCTTCATTTTGGTCTTGTGTTTGTTTGTATCTCAGATTCTGAGATTTCCATTTTATACTTTTAATGGTCCCTTGTTATAGTGCACTATAATGTTTTTTGACCTTTCAGTAGTTGCTTGGATTCTAGATGAATCTGTTATCATTCAATGTGCAGCTCTTTAAGATGTCATATGCTTTTTGTGATAATTTCCCTACTGAATATATGTATATGTCACTGGGAAACATTTTAAATAGCTAGTTAACAGATTTCTTGGAACACATTTTAAATGGTTAGCACTTCTCTCTTCATTTCCTTCTCTCTTCCCAGCCATTTTATCATTCCATTTTTATTTTTATTTTTATCTTTGACTGAGTTTACTCCATTTAAAAATGAATTACTTCTTATTTTAGTATTGGAATTATATTAATCTGGGCAATGAATGCTATGCAACAGGGAAAAGTTCAAGGATTTGTTGCAGGTGTTCAGTCTACTGCTAGTTTATTATCTCCACTTGTAATGAGCCCATTGACTTGTAAGTTTCTTTTAGGAGAAGCTATTTGAAGTTTGAATCGCATTACCCTCTGAGCATTTTTCATCACATAGTTCATCAAATAATGCACTCACTGTTGTTATACACAATATTGGATGCTATTTTACGTGGAGCATAAAGTTTATAGTGATAAGGTGCCTTGAATAGTTGAAGACATGATATCGATGAAGCTGTTCTTTAATGTGGTGCCAACTATCTTACTGAACAATTTCGTTTGTATTCTCAGCCTTGTTTCTTTCAAGTAAGGCCCCATTCAACTGCAAAGGATTCAGCCTCGTGTGCGCATCAGTCTCCATGGTGATCTCTCTCTCTCTCTCTCTCTCTCTCTCTCTCTCTCTCTGTGAGTGAGCTTGTTGCGCCCCTGCAGGTGACAATTTTGAGTTCCAATTAATGACAAGAACTAAAGCATGTTTACTGATGTTTTAAGTTAATGACATTGGCCATACATCTCTCTCTCTCTCTAGGTGATCGCCTTGATCCAAGCATCTGTATTGAGACTTGAAGAAACATCTACTAATCTTGAAGATAGCGAATGTATTCAAGAACCACTTCTCTCTTGACAACTACTTGCCACTCACCCTCTAAGTATGCAGTTGAACTTTCGCATGAGCAACCTTCAATAGCTCACAAAGTGCTCATCAATCAAAGCCCAACAAGCCAAAGGAATAAACTACAGCATCTGCTTCCTCAATAAATTATCAGAGCAATCGTCAATGAATTATCAGAGCAATCGTCGAAGACCCTTTCACTTCTTAGGCACGCATTTCTCTTGGTGAGGTCTTTCTCCATACCACAATGATTTTAAGGAGTTCATAGATAGACCACGTCTCTTGTCCAGGGTATTTAGTTATGATAATTTGCAATGGAAAATCTGATATTCATGTATCACCATCTTGAGCATTTGTGGAAATAAAAGAATTTCATCACTTCCAAGAAATCTACCATTGAAGTTAAACAATATTCAGGATAGTAAATCATTCATAGTTGAAATTTCGAACGTACAATTGAATTGTCGATCAGTGGGGATTACAAGCCCACTACCCGTTCTAGAAACAATCGATTTTTTTAAAACGTTAGTGAGAATAGAGGCCATGATTTTTAACTGAGGCTTAGGTGGTACTACCACCACATCCCCATCCCCATCCCCATTCTCGAAATGACCTATAACTGGGGCTTATAGTTTTTTTCTTTTACATGGATATAATGCCCTAGAAGAGATGGTATTCACATTGGGATTAGCTCTCAATTGACAAACACTAAAGAAATAGATCATCAACCAAAAACAACTATGGAATTGATGGTAATAACTTTAAGAATTGTGTTGTCAAAAAAAATAACATTAAGATTGTAATACTTGGTAGACTTATAAGTTTTTCCTTTGACCCTAAGTGGGAGCTTCCGGGAAATTAGCAATTCAATGAATCAGACTTCATCTAGTTATTAATAGTGTATGGTATTATTTCATTTTTTTTAAAAAAAAAAACCATATGATAAAAGTTAACCAAATATATATGCACAACACGCCTTATGGAGTCTTAGATATTAATTTTATCTGGTAAAATTACCAAATATGTTTATGTCAAAGATCTATAAAAATAAAAATGTATATAAAGAGACCATTTACTTTTAGTATTTTGTTCGGTAAAATTTGGTCTAGTTTGGAAGCTTTGATATGTATTTTGTTCAATAAATCATGATCAAATATATGCAATTCTATACCACACAAGCTCATCGATGTTGTATAGTTTGTGACTAGCTTAGGGTACGTGCATGGCCTGATGTAGTTCAGATGATTTCAAGATATCCAATTTTAATAAAAGGTGATATGTTTCAACCTCTTATTCAATTATTAAGTCGGAATATTCTTTTTTTTATTGGAGAATTTTTTTTATTTTTTTTAAGTTTCGCTGAAATTGGTTAGTTTCTAATCAGTTTATTAGCATTTTAATTTATTTATGTAATTCAGTATAGGGAGAGCTTTCTATGTTCCCCCTTCTATCCTCCTACCATCCAGCGGTCTATTTTTTAATCAAGAGAGCCACTCACTGTTTGATTTTAGATCCGATGTCTCAAAGCATTTTATTTTTAGCTTTTTAATATCAATTTTCTGAATGTGAAATTTAGTATGTGCCATCTTCTCATCGGGGCGCATCTATTAAAAATATTAACAATAATTTTCCAATAAAAAATAATGATTAAAATAACCCTTAAAATTTATAAGGGTATTTTGGCCATTTTATTTTATCAAAAATATTTTTTTTTATATAGTTTTCGTTAGTGCAAGTTTAATAAAGGAATGGACGTCCAAAACTTGGTGTCAAAATAGTTTATAGAAAAAAATTAAAATTGGGTGTCAAAATACTTTATAGAAAAAAAATTAAAAATAAAATAGTGTAGAAAGGTGACATTGTGATTGGGTTAATCTTAGTCCTCCAATAAAAAATGGACAGTTGGATAAAAGGGGAGGATAGAACTTCAGTATAACATTGATATTCATTCTCTTGAGACTGTTCAAAAAGAAAAAGATATTCATTCTCTTGAGATAATATTTTGCTGTTTTGACAATTGATTGGAATTCCCGTTTTTGCAAGTAGTCCTATTTTTAGCTTTTATTTTGCTAGGAGTTTTAGAGAGAGATTTTAAGTAACCTACATAGATTTTGCTAGGAGTTGTAGGGATAATTTTTTCTCAAGATCATAAATATGTTGTTTTCAGATTAAAAGCAATTAAAAGCATATATCATTTTTTAAATTATAAATGATAAAATTGATAATTTCTAACATATATCAAAATTAATAGTGAATACAGTTAAGGCTCTAAACAATCAAAGTAAGGCACGCCTTTAAATAATGCCGAAACATATTCTTTCAGTATTAGAAATCAGTGACAGCTTAAAAATGTATTTATATTTTTAATTATAAAATTAAAAAAATAGTGTAGATCAAGCAGATTTATGAACACGTAAAAACTTTGAAAATTGACAGTCTAGATAACATATTACATGATCTATTATTTTCAAGACTTAAATTCATTTTTTTTTTCTCATGTCCATACATTTTTAGATTGCTTAGAGCTTCGCCCTTATATAAACTCTTTCTAAATTAAAATGTTAAATTCATTATCCTACAGTAGTTTTAACGATGGTTAATAATGAAAAACTCTAAAATTTGATAAAGGTTAATAATGAATTCATCGAAGACGGTTAGTTGTTTACTAGTTTAGGAGCTCCGTTTTAACCCAGAGAGGGAGACAGAATTTTAAGGAAAAAAAGAGGGAAAGAGAGAGAGAGAGAGAGAGTAGAAGATGTTATTTTAGAATCATGATAAATAGCCTGAGCTAGTTTCTAGAAGAGGCCTTTAGGTGATGATTATTGCGTTAAAAAAATCAGTATCTTTTCCTCCAACCATTTTCTATATTGACTTTATTCTTTTCCTTGTGGTAAGTATAATCGTATTCACACACGCAATTCTCAGAAACAATATAAAAATTGCCCAACCACAACGTTACCAAGAAAGAAAGGTCAATTATTTGAAGGCCTGAGCAATTTTATATTTGAGAAGCATGCGAAAAATGAGGCACAGTCTTAACTTTTCTTCTCTCTCCTCATCAACTATCATCCATGTCTTTGTCCTCACTCTACAAATAAGGAAGACAACTCATAATTCACATAAACAATCCTGTTTTAAAAGTTTCACAATGATAGAGATAAGGAATAAACTACACGGTATTAGGAAAAAGTTCCTAGATTTTTTAATTATGGGATAGAGGGAGACGTGGGGTAAAGGACACGTATGTATGGATAGAGAAACGTGGGGTGAAGGGAAGGCCATGTAAGCTCTCACATTTGCCCTAATTTGTTTTTTACATGTGAGATATATGGGGGAGAGGAAACCGAGGAAAGGTATATATGAGAATCTCCTTAAAGCTGAAAACAGGGGTTCGGTATTTCTTCCCCTCAAACTAATCGAAGACGGCCCATTTTATATGATTTTCTCTCTCATGAAGATGTGGAAAACCAGTGTCTTGATGTTTCATGGAATTATTTTGTTTCTCCACAATAAGAATAAGATGCAGGAAGTTAAACATGAAATGGACTCCTACTTTGGGTTGCCTAACACCAACTATGAATGCCCCTTCAAGCAAAGACAGTCCCCCTCTCTAGCAATATAATATAATATAATATTGGCTCTCTTTCTCCCTCTCTCAATCACTTGTTCCTTTACTAGCAATATAATATTGCCTCTCTCCAGAATTCACTATGAAATGCATCATTGTTCTACTGATTTCACGACATAACCTCCCATCCTCTTCCCACACTTGCTCAAACATGACCCTTACTCTTATAGTTAAACGTATCAAGAATGGTTTTTGTAACTTTAAACAATCTCCAAATTTTATTGTTAAACATGTAATTTTTACTGTAAAAAATGCTTAGAATGACCTAACAACCAATTTTCATATGTAATTATAAACTTTTAAACTCGAAAAAAGTTCATCTATAAAAACATGAAAATCTTAAAAATAGGCCATGTAAGATGCACTATTTCTTACTCAAAAACTGTTTTTTTTTTTTTCATATTCGTAAACCTCTATTGAGATGTTTCAAGACAGCCTTTTGGTATGGTTTTTTTATATGAACCTTAATTCTACATTGTATATAAAATTTTTCCGAAAAGGGTGTGGTTTGCTGTATAAGGTTACAACTTTTTTCCAACAATTAAAAAAAAAAAAAAAGACATACGCAACTTATGTATGGCGTAAAAACAGTGCAGGTCGAGGGCAAGGCAAAATAGTTCATTTTCACCATTAGGCTCTCTAGAGGAAAAGAAGTATTTGACCGTTCGCCAATAAATAAATTTTGGAGAGGAAGGAATGCCTCCTCCCATTTCACTCATTCTCTCTCTCTCTCTCTCTCTCTCTCTCTACCTGGAACAACGACATAAGCCACAACGCCTTCCACTACCACATCCATCCATCCCTCATAAAGGCACGGCACGATTACCATTTGTAGGAACACGTCTCTTCCTCTCTCCACACCCTTCCATAATTCATAGCCTACCAACTCAACCGACCTTTCGTGCTAAATTTAAATCATAATTGATGATAAAAAACACAACAGACGCAGAGAAGAAAAAACTCGAACCTGTTTCACTATCATCCATCAAAACCACATGAAAATATACCAGTTCTTTACAACCCACTTCCACTACAACCATCTCAACCCATATTTCCATTAAAAATAAAATCAAGTAAAAAGAGGGAACTCATGTAAATTCCAATGGTGGTTCTTCCTATATATTGGAGGAAAAACAAAATACATAAATAAAAGACAGAACCACCCCCCCCCCCCCCCCACCCCCCCAATCATAGCACCCCAAATAGCAGTTCATTTGATCTCCTAGAATCTCCTACCCCCAGATTAACTTCTCCATCTTGTCTGCTTCATATTTTGTCGAGCTTTTCGGCCTTCACCACGGGGTTTGCCCTGGCGATCGCCTCCCTCCCGGCAGCTTTGAAATCAAAGCTACAGGCATGCTGCTCTGGGTACCTGTGTGCCGAGCAAAATGTCATCCCGCACCTGCACTTGAACCCTGTCAATCCCACCCTCCTCCGGCAGCAAGAGCATCTGTTGGGCGCAGTAGTCTGCGGTCCGCTCTGAAGAGAAGAAGACGATGACAAAACTGAGGCATTAGAATCGGCAGAAGAGTTGGATGAAACAGTAGCTGGCTTCTGGCGATTGTCGAGAAGCTCAGGCACTGATGCAGAGACAATGGAAGAGGAGACAGAGGGATCATTATTTGGGTTCAGCGATTTCTCGACTGCTGCTTTGGCAGAGTTGGCCTGGTCTTCCTTGAGGCAGAAGTCACGGTAGCACTTGGAGCAGAGGTTCAGGGTGGCAGGGCTGCCAAAGAAGCCACAGTTGTTGGCACAGAGGCGGTGGCCTTCTGGGGCTTGGCATCCCTCTGTGCCCCGGTTCCAGCTCTCTTCTGCCATTGTAATTCTTCTAGAGCGCGAGTTGGTTATTGGGCTTAGACTTAATTTAGGCCCGCTATCTTTGGATGTTCTTTCAATCCTGGACATCAAAGAAACATAGGATCAGAAGCATGACAATATCACATGGCAAAGAACCACATTATTACAGACTATTGATAGCTTTTACATAGAAAGTGGCATAAAGTAGTCGTCCAAACTTTGCTCTTCTCTTTTAGCTTTATTTACAGCAAGAAAGGACATAAGCGCATCAATAAAGTTTATGCAGCTTATAAAGAAAAACTGTTCATATAATCGAATGCGGGTACCCAATTACAAGGGAAAAATACTTAGAAGCATCACGACTCGTTTAAAGACGACAAAATTAGGGGAAAAAATGCATGATTGGGAACAAATCTGCCTTTAAGAGGTTTGAGAAGATTAGCAAAAACAATTCAAGAGCAAACCAATAAACCAATCAGAACAATTTAGCAAAGTGACTCGGCCAACAGCCCCCAAAAAAAAAAGCAAAAAGAAAATTGAAATAAAAATCAATATTGTTAAAAATAAGAAAGAACATAAAATAGGTGCTCAAGACCATTAGAGGTCTAAAAAGAAAACAGTTAAAATAAGAATGAAGGTAAAAGTGGTACTAGAAACCATCAGAGGTCTAAAAAGATGAAAAACCTCTACAAAATATTTTGATTTAGACAATGAATATTTCCAAAAAAAATTTGCAAAAAAAAAAAAAAGGGGAAAAATATGAAAGTTCCCAAAACACCTGTATCAATATAGCCAGAAAACTAACGCATATAGTGGTGTTTACCAATTTTTCTATTTTTCACATTTTTCCCCTCCTCAATAAATCTCACCCATAGGGCAAGGGCAAATCTGAGAACCTAACCCCAGGTCCAGACTCAGCAGTTCACCATTCGCTTATCACAGCAATTCCGCAAGAAAACATAAGACACCAAAACGCTTTAATGAAAGTCTGAGAACAAGAAACAGGTAACAAAAACTTCAAAACTAAAAGAAAATTTACATCTCAGAGAAATCCATGTAATACACCCAACGGCTTAAAATTCTAACAAACATGTAAAGTGTTCTATAAATTTCTAAACCACGATAAGAGAGAGAGATTCATGATACATTATCAAAGACAAAAGGCTTCATCAAATCTCATCAAACATACACAGATGAAACGAGAAGAACACCAATTGAATAAGATCTTAGAAAAACCACAAAAAGAACCGATCCCCCTTTTTAAAAGAACAAGAAACACAAGAGACATCGTATATATTCAAGAATAAATCCAACGCTCTTACAAACAACACAACAAGAAATAAACCCCTAAAACGGTTTTAGATAAAAAAGGAAAAACTACAATTTCGAATATACGAGCAGATAGTAAAAAGAAACCCCCCAAAAAAGAAAACATCGGACCATGTAATGTAGAGTTCGTTAATAAGAAGCCCAGAGATGAAAGAACCAAAATTATGAAGAATTAACAGTTTAGCATATGCAAAGGCAACCATAAATACAAAAAAAGGCATCAAGATAACAAAAGCACCTTTTAAAAGGATGATCTGCCATCAAGAATACAAAAGAATACGATCAAGGACAAATTAAGGCCAAACAGGCATAAAAAACAAGATATACAATCAATAACACAAAAAAGAAACAATAAAAAATGAAACACAACCATCAATACACAAAGATTGAGAAAAGAAAAAGACACGATACAAGATCTAGCATTATGCAGACGAAAGAAATACAAAAAAAGAGATAGTGATAGTGAAGGAAAGGGAACACAGCAAGAACGATATAGGGTTTTCAATAAAGGAAAACCAGTAAAAAATAAGAAAAAAGTTAAGAGATTACACCATCGATCTACCATCATAAACAAGAAACAGAACACAAAAAAAGAGGGAACAAAAAGAAAAGGTGAGATAAAGAGGTTTAGAGAGAGAGAGAAACGCACCTGATACGATATATCAGAAGCTTGAAGAGAGCTCTAATGGCGACAGAAACAGGATTGGGGCACAGAGAGAGGGAGAGAGGAAAGAAGAGAGAGAGAGAGCGCTTCGTGAGAAAAAAAAAGAAGAGGGCTCCGAGCCGGTGGCTTTATGGACGAGAATGAAAGAACAGGCTGGCTTATAAATTGGGAGTAACAAAGCCTTGTTCTTTAAGGAATAAGGAATACCGGAAACCAGAAACTGGAAAGCTCGAAACTGGGAATCAAGAAACGACTAGCGGTTTTGGTGAAGATTCCAGATGCCTACGCGGCGCTGTCCAATGAGGCAATAACGATTCTCGGCTAATGTCAATCGTTGGACAATTACCAAAATGGCCCTGTTCGTCAATAACGATTCTCGCCGAACGTCAATCGTTGGACAATTACCAAAATCGCTCTGTCCGCGTTTTTGGTAACCTTTTTTCTTTCGTTTTTTTAAGCATTTGCAGCTCCCGCGGCACGATACTGTTATTTGATCCCCCGGGTAGAAGAGAAGCTAATATATTTTCAAATCTCACACTTGAAGAAACAAAAACAAAAAAAATTTCAGTGTCTTTGGAATGATAGGTACCGTTAATTTTTGGTGGTCAAGATCAAAAACATCAGCTTTCACGTCTTTTCTTTTTTTTTAAATAATGATCCTGTGATTGATCCTAAATTTTCAAATAAAAATAAAGTAAAATTGTTAGCTCTTTTGCCTGATAGAGTAAATATATACTATAATCCACCGGAAGTACGCTATATTTAAAGTTTATATCGGAGACCAGCACGGCCATTTGCCCCCATTTCTTTCGAAATACCAAAATAGCCTGTATCAAATGCCAAAATACAACGATTTTATAAAGTTGTTTTTGGATTTTTTTTATGGAATGACGAAAACAGCCTCGAGGGTATATTTGGTTCTCGTGAAAATACTTCTCATGAAGTAATTCTCTCGTGGAAAAATCGAACCAGAATCGTTGATCATAAATGGGCTCAAAAGCGCTTTAATCAGTCTAACTGGCAAATCAACCGGTTCAATCGTTCTTAGTTGGCAAATCAACCGGTTCAATCGTTCTAACCATGCTAGTTATGGGCGGTTAAACACATCCAAATAAAGTTGAAAATTAATGAAAAAAAATAGATTTTAAATAATTGATTTGTGTCAAAAGTATTTTTAAGATTTAAAAAATATATAAAAATAAATATTAATTGTCAAAACAATTTTCAATCTTTGTCATAATGATGAAAAACATCCAAAAATACCTTACAAATAAAATATCTTATTTTTTAAAATTTTAAAAATACTCAGACCGGTCACGAAAATCGGCCGAAACCAAGTTCCGATCTAACCAAATGGTTACCGGTTAAACCGCCTAATTTTTCCTTGAATGATTCTCCATTATATGATTGGGTGAGAAAGTTTTTTCATACTAATAAGTGCCCATATATTTCTCACACCAATTGACAAACAATTGGTATGAAAATACTCTGACATCTAATCATATGAAGAGTTTTTTCACGTGAAAATACTTTTTAAAAGATATTTTTATACGTACCAAACATGTCATAAATAAATAAATTTTTTCATATTAATTATTCCTAACGCTTTTTTTTCGCTTGAGAAATAGTTGGTGTGAAAAACGCCCACTATTGATCAAAGTAGGGACTTTCTTTTGATTGGTAATACTTTATGAAAGTATTTCTACGCGCATCAAACATATAAAATTTTAAAGTTGGGAGGAACTCGAAAATAAATAAAAACGAACAAACCTTTCAAATTTTCCAAACGTATATTTTCAAATACCGAAAATGCCCTTGACCTTTGGGGCTTTTGTTTTTTACGTGGTGGGCCAAGGCGATTAATGATGCAGTAGTTGGTCTGGTGGACTTTGCTCCAATCCATGACTTTGAAACTTTTCTCTCAAAATTTGATGTTTTAATTTTTAACAATGAAAGATGACAAAATTACCCTAACGCCCTTAGAATTAGAATTATTTTCCCTGGAAAAAGGTTATATATAACCTACCCTGCCCCCAACTGGATATGGCTTATGCTGAGTATGCCTATTCTTTTTTTATTTCTCTTTTTTTTTGGGGTATCGCTGGATATGCTAATCTTTTTGAGTCATGGATATGGCTTATGCTGAGTATGCCTATTCTTTTTTTATTTCTCTTTTTTTTTGGGGTATCTCTGGATATGCTAATCTTTTTGAGTCATATATATATATATATATATGGTGTGGTTTGTATAGAGCCTAGGCTCTAAACAATCAAATCGTCTACCTTCAAATAGTATCGAGCAATGTGGTTTTAATATTGAAAATCTTTGTGATAGCCTTAAAATATATTTTCATATTTGTTTATAAAGTTTAAAGCTTCAAAAATAGTGTAAATCGATATATCGATGAAAACTTGAAAATCTTGAAAATTGATGGTCTAAAAATGTGATACAAAATATACTATTTCCATAACTTGAAATCCATATTTTTCTCATGTCCATGCATCTTGATGTCGAGATGATCAATTTGAAGATATTTGAGCATCAAAACAACCTTTTTTAATAAGATTTTTTAGATAGGCTCAAATTTGATTGGTTAGAGCCTCGGCTTTATATAAACTTTTCCCTATATAGAATGAGCTAATTTATTTATTTTCATATAAGGAGGTCGCCATTATTATTGATCATTCAGTTGATTGAGGACGAGTCACTATTTGGGTGCAAGAGTCCAAAATAGATATTTTTTATTGGGGATGGTCTATAAAGAGACCGTTTATTGTTGGACGCGGTTAGCATGGGGGCAAGCCCACATATGTAGAAATGCACGTTTGGCGATAAATATATTTTTTAAATGGATCCTAGTTTTTAGCGAGAATGTAATCATTAACATGGAGATCATGAACGTGAAACAAAAAAAACAAAAAAACACTTGAAAACTAGAAATAATAATTCATTAAAAAACATTGTTAGTTACAATTGTTATTAGATTGACCACCTATTTGCATCCATCTTTAAGATGAATGCTTTATGCCTCTGGACCGCATATTGTAGAAATGTGATCTAGCCCATATGAAATAATTTTTTTTTTATTTTTTGTATATAGAAGTCACAATCATTATTTTCTTTTAAGTTTCAAATTGGGTAGTTGTAAAAGTGTCATTGAATAGACACAAAATTCCAAAAACAATTCTCGGACTTTGTGATTCACCCTAAGCCATCTAATTTGACATCTAATGAGTGAAAATACTCTTGACCTCTATGTACAAAAGTTTATACAAGTGCGAAGCTTTGAGCAATCAACTTAGGGCACCCATCAAAATTTCACTAACAGAGGTTGTTTAGATGCTCAAATATCCGCAAATCGATCATCCCGGCCTCAATATGCATGGACATGAGAAAAAATGGATTTCGAGATTTGGAAATAGTGCATCTTGTAATGCATTTTCGGACCACAAATTTTCAAGATTTTTAAGATTTTATAGATCTGCTCAATATAGTGTTTTTTAAGCTGTAGATTTTATAATTAGAGATTAAAATATATTTTGAGGCTATCAGAAAGATTTCCAGTATTGAAACCACATTTCTTGACATTATTTAAAGGTGCTTTTTACTTTGATTGTTTAGATCCCTGGCTCTATAGAAACCGCACCCAAGGATAAAGGGTCTCTTTGTAGACGGTCCCTTTTGAATGATATGACAATTTACATCTATTAGAATTCACATCCTGTGACTAAAAGTCATTGTGATCTTCTTCTTTTTTGGGTAAGTAAAGTGATTGTGATCTTCTTATATAAAAAATAAGTTGCCTAGAAGTACACATTCACTAAAAAATAATATACACAACCAATGGCGAAATCAGTCTATCATATAAGATTAATGCTAGCCATCTAGGTTACAATGTATGCTTCAATCTAGATCGTTTCTTAGGTGGCGCAGCTCACACATCTCTATCATTTTATTTACTTTTATTGTTTAAGGTAGGCACCTTATATAAACCACACTTCTAACTATGGACCCGATTTCTATGCGATCAAGCCCGCATATGTAGAAATGCGGGCCTCTCAATAAATCCAATTTTTAGATGGATTTTGAGACTTAATTTTAAGGACATGTAATCTCTAACATGAAGATCGTGAATATGAAAAAATAAATAAATGCTAAAAATTAGAAATACTAACTACAATAAGAAAACATTTGGACCGTTAGAACACCTACTTGCATTCATCTTTAAGATGGCTTTGCACTTTCTGGATCACCGCATGAAACAATTTTCCTTTAATTATTCTTACCATTTGCCAAAAAAAAGTTGAATTGCCAAGAATAGTTAGAAATAAAACCGGTAAGGGTACCTTATTTGCTTTTAGCTTTGGTATTAACTTTTTGTCTTTTATTTTTAGCATTTACCGGAAAATTAAGAAGTATATTGTAGATAGAAGGAACAATGCATAGCTTTAATATGGGGCTTTAAAGTTTTTGCGGGGTGAACTTGAAACCATTTGAGTTTGGATTCAGGCTTGTTATTTATTTTAGGTTTTTTCTTTAACATTCTCCTAAAATATCTTGCGATTGAGCTAGGGATTAGCTATTTTTGCTAAGGATAGGGGGCACAAAATTTTGGTTCTTTTGGGTAATGGGAGTTGATTAGGGTAGATTTAGGAAATGGAGTTTCTCCTTGATCCCTAAAGAAGGATGGTGACTATTTTTTATAATAGAATTTGAATAGAAATGTACCCACATGTAAAAACAAAATTTCAATCAAGTTTCTCAATATTTGAATTGACTTGTGGATTTTTAACCCTTTCACTAAATTCAATCATTTATTGCTATAATATAGGGAATTCTCTCTCCATCTAAAAATGTGTTTTGCTATTTGTGAAAAGATTCTAAACTCCCACTAGAGCATATTGTTTATTTACTGCCACAAGCAATCCCAAACATCGAATCCCAAATTTTGGGGATAACCTAAAAAGGCAAAAAATAATAATCAATGGCACACTCTATATGCCTGAAAAGAAAAACCCCCTTCCAGCTTTTGGAGAGCAAGATCTAGTGTTGAAGAACTTACACTTTTTGTTTTATAAATAATCATAAGTCATTCTTAAATGGTCTCAAATTTTCAAATTAAGAAAATCATCCCAAAATTTCTGAAAAATCTATTTTTTCC